TGTGGTACATAAAATTTATATATACCCTACAGATTTGTAAGGAACACTGCCAATTTATAAATCATATTCTGCCTTCCATACTTTTCATATGTAATTGCAAATAACTGGTAATATTTATAAAACTGGAAACATATTTTTGTTACTTTTAAATTTAGCATGTGTCATAGATTTGATGGCACATTGAATATAAACTGTTATTTATTGTTGCTTGTCTAGTCTTTACCCTGCAGAAATGCTGACATAAATTACAAATGTCAAAGATATACAGAACAACAAAAAAACCCATGCTGTGATTGGCAGGTATACGGTTAGAGCATGGTGTAACACTTATTTTCTGGTTAGTTTAAGTGGAAAATAAATTTTAATACAGTCAAATATTAAGAACTGTAAAGTACAAATATAAATATAAAACATGCACAGAAAGGTGTTTTATATATATTTAAAGGCACATTTGGAGCTGAACTGTGTATTAACACAACTTTTTGAACTGATAAGCAGAGAAATCTGTTATCTTTTTATCTCTGTAATCCTGTGGTGCTCCATAGATAACCAATGGACATATCTCGGAAACCGTGTTTTATATATGCACCGGTTTGTACTCTGAGGTGAGGCAGCCTGGCAAGCACTGATTTGCACTAGTCACTGCGCAATATTAATGTTCGTTGGGCAAAATCCATGTTAAGCCACTCAGGAGTATAAAGATTGGAGGAAGGCATTTTTAAAATATAGACCCTTGTAAACTTCAGCTGCCAAACATGTGTTTGGTTGTCAGATTTAAGTACACAAACAGTCATTTTTGTGTGGCAAGGAAGGACATGGGGAAGGATGACACAGACTTCTTTTTTTAAAAAAGATCAGTTAAACAGAATAACATCCTTTTTTCTAGGAAATACTGAAATTGTGTTTACATTTAAAAAACCTCTAGTTTCCTCTACCTGTCTGCATTGTTTGCTCATCATCCGTCTCGCCACTTCTTTGCATCTTCCTGTGTTATATACTTTTCGCTGAGTTCTCTCCTCATAGGGTGGCTTGATTTTTTTGGTTTTTTGGTGGTTTATTTAGTGTGTTGGTTTTCTTGGGGCTGGGCACAATTAATAAATAAACAAATATATGAGTAGCTGATACATCTTATACGATTTAGTCCTTATATTTAGATTCTGTCACATTTAGAACTCTTTCAGTGTTAAGCTATTTAAAGCTGCAACTGAGATTGAAAGACTTATGATAGGGAATACCTCAGCGACTTCCCCTGCCCTGGGCCCCCAGAAAAAGAAGAGAAAAAGGTCAGAAGATAATGGTGATGATGCTAGAGGCCGTGAAAAACACTAGCTTTTGTTTTCCACTGCTGGTTAGTCTGAAGGACTGTAGCCAGAAAGTAGATGTGTTTAGTGAATTACTTTAAGAAACTCTTTGCAAGGAATAGTTTTCTGCAGGTGGCAACAACCTCCCTTTCTGACCCTACTAGTGCATGAGTTGCAACATATAAGAGAGTAATTCCAGACAACAATATGTGAGCTTTGTGGATGGCAAGACAGTCATACCCAAGGCTTGCCATCTGGTCTGTCTCTCAGATGCCTTTCAAAATGTTGTCAAATGCTCTCAGAGTTTACACGTCATAAATCTGTCACTAAAATAAGAAAGTACCCAGAGCACCCTGACTGTGTTTCAGAAGTGCTCGGCTCTGCTCTTTTGGAGAAGGACGCAGCATGGCCTTTGGGCGCCTTAAGACAAGGCGGAGGTGGGACAAGTTCTCCCACTGTTGGTGCTACTTACGCTGTTGAGGCAACTGACTGCCCCAGCTGGCCCCTCCCTGCCTTTTCCAGCCTCCTCTCCTGCTCCCCAGGCGGAGCTGCTGGCAGCTTGCAGGAGTGGAGAACATGCTGCTTTTATTGCAGCAAAGGCCTGCTCTGAATGAAGAGTTTTTTCTTTGTGTCTCGGTGATATTTCAGAAGGGGGTGTTCAGACAGTGCTAGTGTATACGTATCTGTTTCCAGCGCAGCATGGGTGACACTTGAGCTGTGGAACTTCATTGATTTTTAATGAGAGTCATGTAGCAAAAGTTCTGCACTGTGTTGTGGAAGCATGGAGCAGAGTCTAGTGCAATATGTCTCTCCTGCTTTTTCTTTTTGAACACTTGCTTTCCTTGGCATTTGGCAAACGTGGAGTAAAAAATTCCATAGGATATTTAATTTGGGATATCAACTGACCTCTGCAGCAGCCAGTCTCTTCGTCCTGTGCGTTCCTCACTCTGTAAGTCAACCAAGAGTTTTAGATCCTCCTCACTGTTAATGGAGTTCCCAGCTGTCAGCACATTACCCATCTCCTCTGTCATCCATCTGACAAGTGCCATTGTCGTTCTCCATTTACAGTTTTTTCTGAAAACACAAATCATACCTATGAGTAAATTCTCAAAATACCAAATATATGCAATGAATGGAACAGCTGTGTTTCCCTGGACAAACATCAAAATTCCTGTCCTTTCATTTGGGCTTTCTGTGGGAGGGAGAGCCTGTCCCATTGCCTTATTTTGATTCTCATGAGATCTGCTTCTTGTGTTATTTAAAGGAGTCTCAGTGGCCAAGCAGTCTGATCTCAAGACACAGATATCACTTTAAAAGGTTCTGCTAAACCAAGACGTTAATAAATAGATAATTAAAATACTTTGCACTTCGGTAACACTGAGTCTCAAGACAGTTTACTAGTGCTCCAACCAGTTTGAGGAAGCAGAGGGGAAGCACTGAGAAGGTCTGTGCAAAGAAAGAAATAAATGTGCGCTACATTCTGGCTTCCTCCTTTCAAATATGCCTTCCACTTTTGCTGATATCTGGGCACCTCACAGTCTAATTATTTATTCTACAGTTACTCCTGCTAGCAGAAAAATACAATTAGATATGCACAAAGTCATCAAGTGCTAAAGACGGCTTCTGCCTAAAGAACCTTGTAGAGCAGATCTGTGACTCAACACTAGGACGGAAAAAATTCCTTGAATGAGCAGCTCACAGTGTCTGGATTAGCAAAATAGTTGGATTAGCAGCTACTGTAGTCACTATAAATTAATGCAGGCTTCAGCAGAACTTGAACTTCAGCCCACATCCCTCCACTCTCTGACAGGCCATGTAACCTGAGCCTGGAAGTACCAGTTAATTTGATATAGAAGTTGTGTCTGGACCTACGTCAGGTCAGGAGCAGTGCTCGTGTTACAGGTTGTGCGGCCAACTCGGGCAAGGCAAGCCCCAGGAGTACTTGGCATAGTACCTGAGATCAGAGTATGTGAGCACCGAGCAAGGCAGCTTCGCACAAAGATCTTTAATGCCAATGTGACAAAATTTTGTGTGGTGAAGAGACATTTGCTGAGGGTAACATGCTGATGTGGGGAAGCAAAAGACAATCAGACCATGACAGACACTCGGGGATTGTAGACACTTACCTTGGATGAACAACTGTAATGGGCTGTCTTTGCTCTTAGTTGTGGGAAATATGAATTGAAACAATTTAACTACATTCAGACCACAGTGTTTTGTGGGCTTTCTGGCTCTAGTCAAACTCATTCTTGTGTCTCAGGCAAAATGATGCAATTCGACAACAGTTTGCCGTTTAGACATAGGACTTTAAAACAACCAAATAACATGTTGAGGCAAAACAGAACATAGTGAGGAAGTTAAATATTCCAGACAATCTAAAAATGTGGGTCTTAAACACTGAATTATGTATCAAGATGAAATTACCAGGCTTAGTTAAGCTTTCTTTAATGTATATTTTATCCAATTGTAGCTGACTATAAAATACTATTGGTCTAAAAAATGATTAATTGTGAGTTGACTGTCCTTTTGCCCAACTGGTTAATATTGTCAGATCCCAAGTTTTCCCACTGCTGTTTTTCAGCGAGTAGTGTTTAACTGGGCTGTTGTGCACTGGACCAAGTGAAGCACAGTCTCATAGGAACTTCTTCAGAGCGGAGACACTGTTTGTCCTGAGGGTGACCTCTCCAGTCAAAACATGTGCCCCAACCTCCTAAACACAGTCCAGGGGAAGATTTCCTTTCAGGTGTTGGTGCTCCCAGGGCTCTTTCTCACATATTTTTCTTCTCTGCCCTACTGCATTTTGCCCTTTCTTAAACGCATTTTTGCAGAGGCACTGCTGGCTTTTCTGACAGGCTCATCTGGTTCCTGTGGGTTTATTGTGGAACTGGCTCGGGGCAGCCCTCGCTCCCCCCGGCCAGCCCCTGGGTACAGACACCCTGTGCCCTGAGGTATCTGAGTTAGGAGAGGTGCTGCACTGGAATCCCTCTTTGGTCAGTGGAAAGAGACAGGCTTCTCATGAAGGCTGTTCCTCTGTGAGGTGAATCTGATTTGGTCTTTGGTTACACTTTTCTGGTTATAGATCCAAACAGCTTGGGTTCTAGAGCTTCATGCGGCTTGGGATTTTAATCTACACTTGATCATTTCTGTAAGTACTGCGAGTGGGGTATACAGCCCAGCATTATTCCCTTAAGGCTAGAGTTCGTGGAAAACACCAAGTCATAATGGTAAGAGCCGCTATAGTCAGAATTTTTACCTGATGCAAGGAGCCCTATCTAGCATCACTGAGAAACTTGATATGTGTTGCTGGGGCTGGTACAGCATCCAAACCATGGCTAGATCAACAGCCCATCATGTGTCTTTGAAATAGATAGTGTGCTTTTTATGTATTCTTTTAATTTATTTGGCCTTGGTTCACATGAGAACCAAACATGTGACACAGCAAAACAGATTTGGCTTGAGCTCGCTTAATTTGGTGTATTTAATATGAAGGATTACTTCCTTTATTTAGCAGCATTCATTTAAAATGGCAACCCTGCACAGATGAAGAACAGAGAACAGCATCTACAGTAATGTGTTCACAACTTGTTTTTAATTTTGCGGTGGTTCTGGTGTTGTTCTATGGCATCACACGCTAACGATTTTGCCTTTCCATGAACTGCTTCGAAGTTTACATTGCATGTTTTCTTCTTTTTTTAAAAGGAATTAGCTAAGAGGACTCCCTCTAAGCATCCTGATCACCCAGCTGTCCAGAATGCATTGCAGGCAATGAAGACAGTCTGCACCAACATCAATGAGACCAAGAGACAGATGGAGAAATTGGAAGCCCTGGAACAGTTGCAGTCCCACATTGAAGGATGGGAGGTATGATGCAGGACGAGCAGCCTACCTGGAGGCAGTTTAATGGGCTAAAGTGTAGTGACTCATGCTGTGTACAAGGATTTCTGTTTCTTACGTGTTTTGTAAATGATCTTGAAGGTGTGGGTGGCATCACTCTGAGTTTAGAATCTAGTGTTTATTTTGGTAGTTCAGGCTGAAGCTAAATTGTAGCAGAACAAATGGATTATGAAAGAAAGAATGGTGTTAGAGCTAGAATGGACTGTAATTTGAAATGGGTAGATCTCATGTGAAAGATAAATAAGCCCAGAGGATGAAATCAGGATGAGTCTAAGTAACAGAAGTTTCTCTTGCCCCTCCTGTAAGCTTTTAGCTTTGAAAATTAGCTCATTTAGCTTCATACAGATGTCCTCTATAAAAGATTAGATTATCAAGATTTTGATTAGCAAGCAACTGGTATATTTGTGTTTGCTCCAGTTAAATTAGTCATGGATGTTTTTGTAGAGACGTGTTTATCAGTAGGTGCATATAGCACTTACTATGGAAGCGCAGAAGATAAGAGAGGGAGAAAACAAGGATATGAAGCTTGCGTGAAGAAGGGGAAATCTGGAAATAGAGTCACTCGGTAGAAATGCTGGAACGTCAGACTGGTGTGCAAAGCATTGGCAGCTTACCTTGGGATGACTTCAGTTGAGGCCCTTGAATCAGTGAAGTTGGAAGCCTCTGGGAGCTGCCCTGCAGGGAGGCAGTGGTGTTAAATGGTCGCATGGAGAGTTTGGCGTCGGTGTTTAGTGAGACTGACATTTAAAGTGTCGAGGCTGATCCCTGCCAGCTGAGGATTTCTTAGCTGAGGACATTTTGTTAGAGGTCATGTAAACTTCCTCGTGTTCGGACTCTTGGGTGCTCTCCATGACTCTCTTTTGGGTTGTTTTTTTATCATTCGTGTATGTTTTAAACCTTGCTTGCTTGCTCCCTGGAGGATGTTCTTGGCATCCAGCTAAAGACATGAGAACAACTCAGATACCCAGCTGTGTAATTTTTGGATAACAAGCTTAGCAAACAAAGTTATACAGTGTTCTATATAGCAAGATTTGTAGAAGCATTTAAAACCATTTCAGGTTCAATACAACTCATGGATCATCTAGCCAAGAAGCTTAATTTGATCCAAGAGGCTTCATTAGATCTCTGGAGTCCTAAGCATTATTATTAAAGTGTCTGTGATACTACAAATGAAGTGGTGCCCAAACTTATTGCCTTTTTTTTTTTTTTAGGGTTTAACTTATCTATAGCAACATTCTGGGGCCAAAAATACTTTCAGATTTGTTTGTATACACTATTTTGTAACAAAGTTGCCTAAGTCACTCAGCTCAAAATTTCAAAAGGAAAGAAGTATTTTTCTCTTCCCAGTAAGCTATGGAACATTTCTAAATTATTGTAACAACATATTAAAAGAAGGAAAACTGGCTTCATACATCACAAATATAAGCCAATGCTCAACATGATGGCCTTTTTTTAGTTCTATACATGTAAAGAAGTTTGAAACTGATAGTTTGTTTCCACACTACTAGGGGACTTAAAAATTACTACTCTTAAGCTAGGTGCTATGTTTGTAAATAACTGATTTTAGTTCTTTCAGATGTGTTTCACAGTTTATTCCTAATGAGAAGAGCTCTGAACTTCTATCTGTGGAAAGCTGCACTTGCTGAATTAAACAAATCTTTAGTTTAAGAATGCATTGCTATAAGCCACAGAGATAGCTGTAGGAGGAAGTCTGTCAGGCAAATTTATACTATTTTTTGTTTGTCTGATGGTAGTTCTGTGAAAGAGTATTTCCCTTTTCTGATAGCATGGGTGTGGATTCTGAAGCATTGGTGCACTATATATACAATTATATAGTAATTTGACAAGGCTTACAGCTTCCAGCTGCTTTAATCCCAGGCATCTAGATTGCCAAAAAGAAGTGAAGATCAGCTTATTTATGATCAAGTATTTTACGATTATAAGGGATGTAGCCTGAAACTGGGAAATGTGGAAGCAGCAGTTAATCTGTTCACATGATTTAGAACAGGCTCTACGTTGCGTGCAGTTTCTGTTTAACCAGTTTCAGTGGTTTCTAGGACTTCATTTCCTGCCAACTGTCCCAATGGACCATCCCTGGCCATCAGTGCCACCCTCAGTATCTGCAACATGAAGAACAAGTAACATCATTTTGCTTCTGCAGAACCTCCTCTTCTTGCTCTTGAGGTCATCTGTAACTTCACCAAGAGCAGTAATTGTTTTTGAGAGCAATTTCCTCAATTCAGTGGATTTTTTCTTCAACATCTCCACCCACCAATCTGTGTCCCCTCTCTAATACAGCTGTCACTATCATTATCGTGCTAAGCATACACTGGCATCATAGAATCCTAAAATGATTTGGGTTGGAAGGGACCTTAACGATCATCTAGTTGCAACCCCCCTGCCATGACCGAGTCCCAAACCGGGAAGCAGCTGAAGGCCTGCAGCTTAATCAGAGGTCTGCTCATCAAAATGAGCTCTGCTCAGATTCATTCTTTCGGAATGCACAGAATCCTTGTGGATGTATGTTATGGATTAGTCTCAGGGAGGTCAGTTTGATTCTGGTTAATCCTCCTGGAAAACAAAATTAGCTTAAAAAAAAGGAGAAAGAAAAGTGGAGGATTCATAGGACGACCAACTTTTGAATACAGTGTTTTTGTGTGCTTAGTGAAGAACAAGTTAATATACTTTTTCTGTTAATCATATATGGATCTTTCTGTGGGGAGAGCTCCTCCTCATGAATTCTTATGAATAATTTTTACTGAACAATTGCTACATATCCCCAAATTCTCCCAGTCTGAAATGCCTAGGGAAGCAAAATTCCCATCACAGAACAGGTAAGTTCTACGATTTGTATTAGTGCTTGGACAGATCAGTCATTTTATAATTGATTGTAATTTGCAACTCTACCAGCTATGATGTTTTCTTCTTCTTTAGTGTTTTGTTTCTTGCTTTCCTCTTGCAGCTTGGTGTCACGTAGAAAGGTGAAAAATTCTGTGTTGTATCTGAAAATATCAAATGAACCTTCTTACTCTTTTTCTTACTATTGAAAAACCTTTCAAAGTGGTGTAAACGGGGAGTATCTAGGTCTACAGCAAACAGGAAATGCATCAACAGCATTTAGATACCATCATGATGGGCCTGATGGAAAAATAAAGATTCTTAGATATTAAGGCGAGAAGCAACCGTTGCAATCATTCGCTTTCCTTCCTGCACAAAAATAGGCCAGATAATTTTACCCGGTGATTCTCGTGTCGGTAAAAGATTGACTTTGGTTACTGATATCGCTGTGCTCATTGCTTCTGCTATCTTTGGGTATCTTTTGGAAAATTAAGTATTTGATGTTGAGGTGCTCTGAAACCTTGATTTCTCCACGGGCAAACCATGTCAGGAGCGTGCTTTTATGTTGTACAGTCAATTGGTTTCTAGTCCTATTTGTGTTCGAGCTAGTAGGACTTTGGGGTCATAATTCTGAGATACAGTGATTTCTCCTGGAGCTAGTCGTGTTCAAAAAGTCATTTTCAAAATAAAAAATGCTTATTTCTGGACATGAATTAACTCTTTCTATAGAATGGAACTAGCTGGTTCCTGCGCCATTCTGTCCAGAATGTACAGAAATGGTATGTGGAACACAAATTGGTATTGCATACGTGGCAGCCTTTAAAGAGTTGCTGCTTCCTTGTTAATGAAAAGCAAGACATGGAGAGCACAGCTGGCAAGGTTCCATTTAGAAAACAATGTAATCAGAGCTTCATTCACACCTTTTGAGTTGTGACTGCCTTGCATTTAGAAAGACTGATTACAATTCAGTGATTTCCCCTGAATAGCTTGATGGAGCAGACTGTGCCTTCCTCAAAAAAAAAAATCCCCCCTAAAAATCACTCATGCAGTGTTGAAACTCATCGCAACATCTTTCTGGGGTGACTTTCTAGCTTGAGCTGGATTTCTTGTGTGTTCATAGAGGTGTCTTCGGTTTCTTCTAGTGGGATGAAGTGTGTTTTACAAAGTTTTTCTGTTATTTGTGAATATAGGATTAATGGACCTTTGGAAATGAAGCCGTTTGGTTGCTGATGAGTATCTTGCAGTCCAAAGTCAGTTCTCTTTTCCTGTAAGACTCAAGGCAGTGTGTCATATAATCTTTTCTACTTCTTTATCTGCATGCTGACCATGGAAGGAAGCTGCTGTTACCCAAAGTTGTGCTTCCTCTCAACTCAAAGAGAAATGCAAAAAAATAATAAGTGATCCAGAACTGGGTGGTAAATATTTCCAGGGCCTCAGGGTGCTTTTCAGAAAAGGGATCTTTATGATTCAGTGCTCTTGCACTTTCAGTGTAATACTAGATCAAGGAATTTAGTGCTGGTGCCCAAGGTTTAGCCAAACCATCTTGTTTGGTCAGCGGGACAGTTGAGGAGCAGATTCGCAGTCGTGTGCCTGCAGAATGTAGGGACACAGGGAGTTTGCCTGTCCTGAGAGCAGCCGGGCACAGTCTATAGTTGCTTTTCATTTGGGCCCACCTGCTCTGCTCCCAAAGGGCCCTGTTTAAAGGGCTGTGCGTTTGCTTTTCCTAGGAGTAATCTCAGTAACAGTTTGGGGATTGGATGTTTCATCTGCTGTGGCTTTCAGCTTCTGGGCATCCTGGTAGGCAGAGGCATCTGGCGCACCCAGCTCAGGTACCTCCCTGGCTGGTGCACGTAATGCCTTGCACACAGCGTCCGGGACCGATTGCCATGGCTGCATTTCTGACTTGGGTGTGATGGTTAGAACTCCAGAAGGGAGACCATCTGCGTATACTTCTGACAAAGAGTTCAAGAGACATATAACCACTGGGGTAACTTTGCAGAGATGTTTAACAGTGACGTACATCAGTATCAGAGCTACAATGTCAGGGAAATATGACTATTCTTTTATAAAGCATTCCTAAAGTCATAGCTTGTGATATTTGCAGTGATGGCTCACGGTATGAAAGGAAGACTAATGGTCTTGAGAGACTCCCAATACAGCTGCTTTGAGAGTGAAAGATTTCTACAGGAAAAAGTCTCCTGGAGTTTAGTAGGGAAAATTTACTGTAGTGTATGAGGACTCCAAAAAAATCAGTCATCCGGAGAAACATGATGTATTTAGCCACATTAAGAAATTGATCACTTCCTCCTTATGAGTGCATCAGTTATTTCCCAGTTTAATGACATGCAGATAAAATAACAGTGTTTTAGTAAAAACACTTTATTGTGCACATGCAAAAAAAAAGCTAAAAATAAGCAATATCTATTCTGTGTTTCAGGGGTCAAATCTGACAGATATCTGCACACAGCTCTTACTCCAAGGGACTTTGTTAAAAATCTCAGCCGGAAACATCCAGGAGAGAATGTTCTTTCTATTTGATAATCTACTGGTCTATTGCAAGAGGAAATCCAGGTGAGTCCTCCTCTCTCTACAGTTTTATAATGGGCCTATTCAGAAGTTTTGTAAGTAGAAAGTGCGATCAATTAGTGATCCCTCATTGTATTCCCTGTTGCTCTATAGGGCTGAGTCATAGCTGTGACTTCCCTCTGGTTTTGACTGTCGCTATTTAGACTGTACGAGAAAGAAGTCTCTATATGGTAGGGTAAATGTGCCAGATAGTAATGGGGTTCCCACCCTGAGAAGCGCACAGTCCAAAGACAGAAGTTGATACAGTGCAGAAAAAACACAGAGTGAGTTCTTACAGCTGGAAAGCTTCCCAGAGCAGATGGGTCTCCAGGAGCGATGTGAAGAAGAAGATCTTGCCAACTTTCATTGTGAGGTTATTCCAAGCAGAAGAGGGTGATGTGAAAAATGATATAAACTCAAGAAATGGGAAAATAGAAGCCTAAGCAGACATTGAATAGATACAGGGCGCAGAGGAGTGAGGAAGAGGAAGAGATTAGCCTTGGCAGTGCGGAAGGCATTTTGCTTCTGCAGCAGTTATGCTGCATTTCAGTTCTAACCTTTTCATCCACACAGCTCCAGTCTCTTGCTTGTATCTTGGTCTTTTCTGAATTTACAATGTATTTTCTACACTCCAGATTCTCCTCCATCCTTTCCTATAATACCCTCCCCTTTCTTCAAGTCATGCTTCTTTACTGGGGATGGCCAAGTAAAATGGCCAACCCACTTAGAAATTCTCAAAACCCAAAGTCTTCTCTCCAAAGAAAATTTTTATATCTCAAAATTTGAGTTTATTTCCCAATTTTTCATACAATGGAAGTTTTGGAACGATTAAGCTGGGAAAAAATTATATATGAGGCTTTTTATGTGGTTAAGACTGAAACTATACAATATCCATACAAATTATTAGGTGAAATTTGCATTAGACATTATTATAATGTAATATAAACATTACACAATTTAATCCTATGTGGCTTTAAAAATTATCTAACTGAAGCATTCTGACTGTGTTGAAATAAAGCAAGCAAGGTGAAACAAATTTGTGTGTTTTCTAACAGAAAATTATTCCTTAATAAATAAATAAATGTGAATGTGATATCTAATGTTTTACTTCTTCAGAGCTCTTAGAAACTGGCTTTCTAGTCCTGTTTGTTGTAGAGGTTAGCCTAGCCCCTCCTGCACTGTCCAGGCATTTTTCCCAGAATACTAAGATTTAGAAAACAAAATGTTCTACTGCCTTTTAAGCAACTCTGTGTTTTTGTACAGAAGACGTTACTGAGCTACTCTGTAGTTTGGCTTGAATTTGGAGGAGGCTGCTGTAACACTTTGATTTTCCCTAAGGATTGACATTGTTTATCTTTGTCTAATAATGTAGGTTGAACTGATGAAATGTCCAGAATCTAATTTTCATTAAAAAGCACAGTGTTTTAAGTCTGCTGGGAATTGACCAATGTAAAAGATATATTTAGGGATCACTGAGTGGCTTTAATTTTGGATATTTTTCCTGCCTAGCTGCTATTTATAATTTGTCCAACTGCTTGGCAAAAAACTGGTAGTGGGACACAGATTTTGAAAAAATAGCCACACCAAAAATCTCTGTCTGTCTGCCCCTAATTTGAAACGGAGTGACTTGGTTCTCGTCTTATGCTGTGCTTATCTTAGAGAAGTCACTGGAGTTTTTCTTGATTGAGAAGTGCAATCAGCATTCAGGCCTCAGTATTTGATAAGTAGTCAACAGTGGAGCCATTTGAATTTGGGCATCATCTCTTTTCACAATAGCATTAATTAGGAGTAATGTTGGTGAGACCAGTTTAAGATGTGTTTAGAATCAGAATTAGATCTGTGATTTTAGATCTAAGACTGTAATCTTGTCTTTTGCAGGAGCCTAGGGATATCTGACAAACTGATGACGTAGATTTTCAGGCCTGAGTGTAGTTTTGAATTTTTAGCAGGATCGTGGACTGCTGTTTAAATTTCATCCTAATGTCAGGAACAATATGTTTCACGTGGGGAAATAGGCTGAGTGTTTAAAGGGTTTCACTAAGTCTGCCAGGACGGTTCTTTTGACTCCAGCAGTCATCTTTAGGAAATGATCTAATAGCTCCAAGATCTCAGTTCCTGTCAGCCAGATTTGGATGTAAATAAATGGTCATCAATAAATGTGCGTTTGTCACTGGAGTTGTAAAAGAAAAAATCGTTCAGAAAAACTTGGTGATTCTCCTCTCACTTCAGTTTATCACAGATATTTCACAGTGACAGAAACTTTCTCCCCCACTGTTTTTTATTGCAATATTTGAATTTTGGAAGGCTGCCACAGCAATCCCTTCGCTGTACAGAATTTGGAGACCTGCCATCTCAAATGACGATCATTTGACCAGTTGTGTTTTGGTTCACATAGCAGGGTTGTTCTTAAATATTAAAGCTCAGCAGGTGTCAGTTGGATAGTTTTAAACCTACTCTGGACATAAAAATCAGAACAGAGCTAGCAATGGAAAATGCTTCCCTGATTTTTTTTAATAAGATGCTTCAACAGAGACACTGTAAAGCTTATGGATAAGGATGTGAACTTTGTGCAAAATCACAACAGCAGCACTTTGACAAATGCCACATATGATGACATTTAACACACACATGACAGACCAGGTGACTCACCTCTTTGCCTCTTTGATGCCATATTTGAAGCTTGGTACAGATACCACAAATTTATCAAAGCTTTAGGCAAGTGTAACATTGTGTCAGGTGATACTGTGGGTTTTAAACCAAAACCATATGCAGTTTGGTTGTACTGGCATTTTAATCAGTTAGTCATCAAGAATGTAAATCTTGAAGGCATCCCAATCTTCACATAATCTTGCAAAATAAGCTCTCTTCATCTGACCCTGTTTTATGCTTATCTTTATGAGCTCATCGGGTATTGCAGTTATTTAAGATCAGAGATGTGGCCAAATACTACAAAACACTGTACTGGCATCCTTTTTAACAGCTGTATCTCAGACTGATTTGTACGTGTGTATGTACACCATTTGCCTATGTGTTGCTAACATTCTCAATCATAATTGCAGAGTTACTGGGAAAAAAACATCTAAACGGACAAAGTCAATCAACGGGTCCCTTTATATCTTCAGGGGCCGAATAAATACAGAAGTCATGGAGGTGGAGAATGTGGAAGATGGAACAGGTAAGAGACCCAATACTGTCTTTTAACAACACAACAAGCGAAGATGTTGTGCTAGGAGTTGGAGGAAAAGTGCTTGTCCATCTCCTTTAGTGATATCTGAAGTAAGCTAGATAACTTGTGATGCCCTCATTAGACTGGACGTGCTTTCAGGCATTAGCCCTTCATTCTGAAATGACCTTATGAACAGTTTGTGTACCCAGAAGCCTGTCTATTTTTTCTCCTAATCCAAGTTAATTTAGTAAAAGATACTTTATCCTCTTTCCATCCTTTCTTTTCTTGCATGTTAAGCCATTACAGCTGTAATAACAGACCTGAATCTTCTTCTCATTTGGAGTACTACCAAATATTAGTCTTAACACCAAATCAGTAGCATGGAATGTGGCTGTGAACGAAATAGGGAATGGCAGTTGTGTTCACAACTGTTGTGTTCACAACTGTTGTGTTCTGACACAGGCAGGAAGACTGAATAGGTTTCTGATTTGATCCACAAAGGCCACACCAGCCCCTGCTCCTATTGTAGTAAGTCAGGAATTAATATTATGTCCTTTAAACAGTTGACACTTTGAGTTCCCATGTCCTGTGGACAAAAATTCTTACAGAGCAAGAAGTTAGCATGCTCCCAGATAGCCTGAACAAACATTATACAGTTTTTCACTGATGTCATTAAATTTAAAATATAGTGGTTGTTCTTCTGAGGTGAAATTACAAAATGTCACTCCGAGGACTGAAACATTCGGTCAGTCTGAACAGCCTAGCCATGGATTCTTCTATTAATATTTGTACTTCCAGAGTGGTAAGTGACAGCCAGTCTGATGGAAAGTCAGTAAGACTGATGAGGAACACCTCCAGAAATCAAGCTCTTCAAAGAAGAAGCTTTTAATTAAGGTGTCCCACAGTGATTTGGTTGAAGTAGCTGGCCTTCTGCTCACTCTGTGCATTGTGCTTTGGTTTTTTACAGCAGATTACCACAGCAACGGTTACACTGTGACAAACGGCTGGAAGATACACAACACAGCCAAAAACAAATGGTTTGTCTGCATGGCCAAGACTGCAGAGGACAAACAGAAATGGCTGGATGCTATAATCAAGGAAAGGGAACAGAGAGAGAGTAAGTGAATAATGTATTTTCTTATGCACTAAATGAACTTGTGTACAAAGGAGAAATGTATATGCATGTAGAAGTAGCTGAGAGAAAAAGAGAAGTTTGCAGTTTTTCCTAAGGCACAATTAAAATCTAGCCTTAATAACAAAAAAAATGAAATGACTGAAACCAAATAATTTTGAATATGTACCTCGGGGTTTTTATGGACTTGTGTCAGCATATTTATCAAATAAATAACAGAGCCAGGTCAGTTTTTTGATACATTGAATTACTGTGAAAAAAATACAATTAATCAATTTCATTTTTTTTTTACTTTCATTTGTAAATAAAGTTAAATTGTATCGTGTTTGTTAGTAAAAGGAAAGAACAAAATCCAGCTTCCAGCCTTTTTCCAGAGACGGTGGCACAAACTCATTCTCACAAACTTGGCCTCCTTGATCTTGAAATGAACAGAACAGTTAGTTCATGGAGGAAAAGTTCTGGAAATGTCATTCTTAGACTGAGGATGGTGACAAATATATGCAAATGCTTGCCACTTTTATCTTCTCATAGAATGAAACAAAAATTAAGCTTATCTTGAAATGGTGTTGTACTGTAAAAGCAAACTCACAAAGCTGTGAATCAGGGTACGTGACAAAAGTTCTGAGCTCCTTTGAAAGTCAGAACTGTCTTTCACAAGGGAACCAGCTTCCCTGTTTGCTCAATGGGACCAATAAGAGCTCGTTGCCAGAGAAAATGACATTTATTTTAAAACATTCTGTGCCTGGCTATTGGAAGTGGTTTCTCCCTCTGCACACGCAACTCCATTAAAGATGTAATTATTGGTCTTTACTAATATTGAAAGAGGTCAGTCTGAAACTTTTTAGTAGTGTGTTTTCAGAGCTTGTACTTGCTAAGCAATAGCGCTTTAGATTTTTATAGTATTATAAGCAAGTTACAGATCTGTCACAGAAGTTTAGTAAAAGCAAAAATGTCTTCTGATATCCAAACGTTAGTTTTTATGTTATGTTACTTTGCATCTAATCTGCCAAACACAATACACAGTATTATTTGTTACCATGGAACAGAGAACATTTCAAACATTTCATCACATATCAACCCTAATAGACCTTTGGATAATAGCAAGGCTATTACCTTCAAAATATAGGTCAGGGATTAGTGTAAATTCAGATGAACTACCTGAAGGCAACAGAGCGCATCTGTTTTGATTTTTGCTTATTGGTTAGGTCTGCAACCCACTCTACTGTGAAGATCCGTATCTTTCGTAAGAAACAATTGTAATAAGGTACATGTCTTGACTCCTGCTTTTACCCTCAGAGTGCTAAATCATATCTCTAAAAGATCCAGCGAGTCTCCATTTCGTAGCGAGTTTTCGCTTTGTGAGATCACTGGAGTTCTGTGGAATTTCCTGTGCGTCAGGTAAAATGTGTGAGGAGAGAGGAGGTTCAGTAAGGAGTAAAAAGACAGGACTATAAAACCAGACAATATATAAACAGAGAGCTTGAGAATATGGGGAGGTGACTGAAATAAATATTAGGAAGGGAGAAGAACTGTTCCTTGGTGAGAGTGGCTTTTTTTCTGATGCTTTCTGTCGTAGGGTTTTATGATGTGGCAGCTGATGACAGGCATGTAGCATAAGCACAGATATTCTGGCAGACATTCCAGGCCTTATTGGAAAATCTCCTTTGGATCAGAGTGCTTGCAAAGTCACAGAGATAGCTGTGTTTGGATTAGAAAGCTTGGTGAGATTCCCAAATCTGTAGGATCAGATGGGTAGAATGTGCATTCCAGTTCCCCATTTACATCAGAGCCTGGGGAATTCGGTGATGTAAGACCAGCAGGAAACATGTATACTATTACACAGGCTGTTTTCTATCACAAGTTCGTGTTGCAAATTAGCCTCAGCTACACGTGTCAGCATTCGCATTGAGTTGGATCACAATACTGGGGAAAGAAGAGGTTGGAAGAGTAATGGCAATAAGCCAGAAGATTTGCAGAGCCAAAACCTTTAGCCAGATATTGGACACATGAAAGAAATACTGTATTTGAAAGATAAAATATTGTGCAAGTCTAATTTCTGCAACATGCATTGAAAGCCTCTAAAAGAAACAAATGTTTTCAAAAAGCTAGAAAGCAGCTCTGATCGAGACTGTTATTTAGTTTCAGTATTATGCCATAAAGCAACAGGATTTATGTACAGTTAGGGCAAACTGCTTGTCTCCAGGAACGTACAGTTCTCATTTTCTGGCCTTATGCTGATCACTTAAATTCTGCCGAATGTCAATCTCTGTAAAAAATAGGCAGTTAAGTACAAGATTGATTCAGGCTGTCTCTCTGCAAGTTAATCTTAGAGACATCTAAGATCTGTGCCTCTGTTTTGGACTCCAGAGTTGCCTGGATTTGCAAGTTCTAGGACGAACATGGCCAGAAAAAAAAACACTGTTTGTTCAGGCTAGAAGAGACAGAACACTTATACAGCAGAATGGCTTTTTCATGTGCTGTCTTCATAAAGCAATTTAAAATCTTAAGAGTGCCAGAAAACACTAGTTTGATGGTAGTTGTAATATAGACACATGTTGTTTTAAGAAATCATCCTTCTGACTGTAGCAGTTTTCAAGTTGACATGATCTATGTGGAAACTCAGACAAAGTGGAAATTAAATTTTTTCTATAGCAAATTATCTATTATTCCTTAAACCATCCCGTATTTCTTGCATTGACTGGATAATGTGATTGTCAAGACTGTATTTTTAGCCTCGGGCTATTAGTAAATAGGCTAATTAAGAAAGGATGAGAAAATAATGTTCCTGCCTAGTTTTGATTTATTTAAGGATGTGAAGTTGATTTCGGCAGTTTTGTATTTTTGGCTTCAAGTAATAGAACATTCAAAAGTCATCCGCTCTATCAAGTGTTAACGCTGCCTTGAACAAGTCTTATGCCAGCAGTTATTTCAGAGTTAAAAGTGAAATTGCAACAGGAAATCAGTTTCAGAAGGTGTGTGTTTTATCCTGTTTTCAAACTGCTCTACCTTCTGCCAAACCTTCTGCATTCTTTGATTTAAAGCTGCTTTTTAAAATTGAGAAGAAAAGCTGCGAGCATCTTGGTGATGCTAAAGACACCAAGGACAGTTTGTACTCAGATAAATAAATGACCCGATTTCTCCCTTATTTGGAAGACAGAAAATTTTTGTGTTTCTACCGTTTCTTCTGTTTGTCCTTAGCTGTTGATTTTGAGCCAACACTTTGTCTGATGTTGAGGATCTGATGGAATTTCTGCTTTGTATTTCAGGTTTGAAACTGGGAATGGAGAGGGATGCATACGTCATGATTGCAGAGAAAGGAGAGAAGTTGTACCAAATGATGATGAGCAAGAAAGTGAACCTTATCAAAGACAGGAGGAGAAAATTAAGTACTGTTCCCAAGTGCTTTCTTGGCAAGTAAGTGGCATTTGAATTGAAAAGGCCCTTTCATACCAATTAAAAGAATGGACTCTGGATTTTCTAGGGGTGGCATTGTGAGGTCATATCAGATGTGCTTTGATGTAGCTTAACTGAACCAGCCATAACCCCCATTACAGTTTTGATTTATTAAAATTAACCGTTGAATTATATTTTACAGCACATGCAGGCTGTATAGTGATGGCTCATTCTGTTGTGCAGTAACTCATAGCAGCTGTTTCGATTCAGAAGAAGGAATAAGAAAAAATACCTGAAATCTCATAAGCTCAGGGCTGTTGGTGGCCTAATGTCCATCTCTTTTGTACACAAGCAAATGCTTCCCAGGTGATGTTTAAATCCAGCAGAATTATCCAAGTCTCAGGATTGAATTTAGAAGTTTCCTGTTTTCAGTGTAACAGACGCGAATGAAATTGTGTGCACTGGGGAAGCCTCGTGCATATTTTAGAAGAATAGGGCTTTATTGGCTGGGAAAAAACCTCTTTCAATCAGGCTAAATGTTACAAAATAATTCTGAAGAATAACATATATGAGGCAGTAGAAGAGAGATGGCACTGCTGAATCAGATCAGAGATTAGATACTGTAGCAGTGGGGCTGTTGTGGGGAAATGTCCTGCATGGGACAACATTAGTTGACCTGAGAAGACTTTTCTGCCTCAGCTGTTTATGACTGAAGTGATCGGCTGTGGGAGGAAAAAATTCTGAGGCAGACTATCCATTCATTTCTCTTGCCTCCCTCTGGTCTCTGTAAGGGCAGTCTGCAGGCAGCATTCCTTGTGTACAGGGTGTGGAAATGATGCATTTCTGCCTAACAGGAAGCGATCTGGTAGCATAGGCTAGCAATATTTCAGCTTTTAAAAAAAAAAAGTCTTGATTTTTTGAGATTTCCTTACTTTTCTTCTTCTCACACACAGACACACACATACACCCCAACTGATCTTGCAGGATTCAAATGGAAACCTTTCAGCTTTGATTTCGGAGACAGGATATAGCATTTCCTATTTTCCATGCAACAAGAAGTACCAGATCAGAAATGTACATTTTTTCTGTGCTGATATATATGAGTCTGTTGTGGATTCCCTGACATTTTGCTCAGTCTCAAGTTTTACTTGGGATTTCCTGCATCTTTTTCATGTAAAATGTCAGTTTGACAGCCACCTGACACTCCAGTCAGGTTTCTGAGCCGCTGGGTTTCTGAGCCCACATGGAGGTACACTGATCTCTGACAAAACCGTTATTTCTCCTATTATTGTAGCCTTCCTTGTATGAAATAACTGATGTCTTTTCAACAGTCGCTTGTTGGTACAGTCCTGGACAACTCAGTTGAGTGCAACTCTAATCAGTGCAATCCCGTCATGACTTGGAGACGCTTTGTATCATTCCTGGGGTTTCCCTTGAATAATGCGTTTTCTCAGATATTCTTGCCCAAGGGAGTTATAATAACTGTACTTATTGGCTTTTTGCTACATGGAGCTGAGAGTAACATTAAGGCCACAAAAATTATTTTTTTTTGGCCTTTGGATATCAGAAAACATATATTATTTCAAGAGGTGAAATGTATTTGTAGGAAAAAAGCATGAACTAATCCTAATATCTTCAGAAACAACAAATGCGTTTATTTATAAGGCAGTTTACTGAACATAACTTCCACAGCTGACTTACTTGAGTGCAAATCCATTTTCCTGACCACTTCTCAGGCGTACTAGCAGTTAGGCATGTGGCTAGTGATACAATGGGAAGGACGTGTAAATGACATGCTTGCCCTGCTTCTTTGCAGCACAGCACTGAACTGATGGCAAAATCTTGAACTATATTGAGCTTATAATAGAGAGGATCTACTCACCTCAGGAGATTCCAAACATAGCTGATCAGATTGCGCAAACCTGGAGAGGTTGGATTTTCCTGTGTATTTTTTGAGTAGAAACCCAGCTGTTCTAAGTCCCTGAATTTCAGAGGTATAGTCAGGAGATGATGTCCTCACTTGCCTGGCAGCACTGGGAAGCGAGGATACTCTTAGTTAGCCTGGAGACTTGCTTACGGCAAGATGCAGAAACAAATCAAACTTTGCCTTCCACTTTTTGAGTTGAGGCTTTTTTAGCAACAGTCCTGCCTGTACCTAAAAAACCACTTGGAGTATTTCTGGATCGTGTGTTTGTAAAGCCTTCAGAGCAAATAATTACTGATTTTGCTCGAGTCAAACACCACAGAAGTCTTAAAGTAGCTCTTAAGAAAACCACCTCACGATTCTGAAGGTTCAAGGCTGTGAGAGTAGCATTCAGTTATTTTCCATTTTTAGCTCACTATTTCAAACTTTAAGAAGGCTACCTTACATTTACATCCAAATAAACTCTAGGGACACAGTTCCAAATAAAAGAACTACTAGCAGGAAAGCTAATAGTGTTCTGCTGAAGTTCTGAGCAACTGTAAACTGGAACAGACCCACTGCAGTTCATGGAGAATGTACAGCAACTGGGCATCTGCTCTGGGTACTTAAGCTGATGACAGTCATTGGCCAGCTTGCCTGCGCTGGGGCACTGCACAGAGTGTGTGTCTTGTGTTCTCAGTAATGTCTGTGGAGAGTCATTCTTACTTCTCTTCCCTCTGGAGTTTATATTCTGTTTCAGCTTTTAGGTGCTTCTAGAAACAGTTCAGAATCACTGGGAAATTAAGAATGAGCTTTCTTTAGGAGATAGTTTGACTCATCACTACAGTACTCTGGCTTAGGAGATTTACAAAACTCTACTGGTTTCCATGGGATTCCCCTGGCATAGCTGAATAGATTCTGCTGCTTTTTCTACACTGTGACAGTTACAGAGTAGCCCCTCAGCAAGCTTGAGTTTTCAGTACTGAAGTTGTTGTTATTCTAAAGGCAAAATGCAAATACTGCCTACAGCTTAGATGAGTCAGTTCTAATAAACATGCAGAGACTAAAAATACTTCATTTAGATCCCACAAGTGGAGGCATGGGTACTGGTTTCGATAAGCAGCAACCCTCTGCATACTGGCAAGCACCCAAGAGGTTTATTGAACTCAGATTTCCCATATGTCGCTCTACTTTCATATATTCCTTTTGTTCTTTATGATTTTAACACATTTCTAGTATAATCACTAATTAACCTGGCAAACAACTCAGCCCCCTAGGGCTTTGGCAGTCCTGTATTCATCAAGCTTGCAATATCTGTTTTTCTGTACTTACTGTTTCTAATTGAGTAACATCCTACATATCTATCAATTTTTGGCTTTTGTTCTGCCCATGTGTGCAGCTCTGCCCATCAGCAGAGAGAGGTTTTGTTTTGTGTTACATGAGCAAGCAGACTTAACACCTTTTGTCTACAGATTAGATGCATCTTTTATGTATCTGCCAGGGACCAACTGCACTAAATAACCTTAAATTAACCTGTCAGTGGGACTTGTGCTTTCTCTTACTGCTCTGTGCTAGAATTCAGTAGGCTGAATCTTCCATTCTAAGTCCTACTGTGATTCCATTAAAGCCAATGCGATTACACCGCTGTGGGGGGGCGGAAATCAGACCCAGTGGAGAGTGGTGACCATATGTAACCAAGTCAGACTGCGAACGCTGCTTGGAGGGATAGCTTGGCTGGAAGTAGCTCTTTTATCTACTGTCCAACTTGTTGTTTTTAAGGTCATGATTTAATCGTGCTTTCCTTTTCCCCCTTGGATGTCTGGATTGCTCAATAAAATAAGGATATGCAGCGTATTTATAGATCCAGCCAGGTCTTCTTTCCTTTCGTATGCATGCTAATTGTGATGAGCTAAAGGGAATGGTGGGAAAAGCCAGGGACAGGACATCTGGACCTTCTGCAGAACGTTTCCTCCAGAATGTAGGAAACCGAACCACGTAGTAGAGGTATCATCGGTTCCAACGATTTTCATGTTTGCTTCAAGAAGAAAGTCTCCTGTGGTTGGCTGATGACTTGCAGAAGCATGTGTCTGCTTATATTAAGAGCAAAACAGCTAATTGTTTCTGTTCTGTTTCCCTTTGCAGTGAGTTTGTATCTTGGCTCACAGAAATTGGAGAGATAAGCAAACCGGAGGAAGGGGTCAACCTGGGACAGGCACTATTGGAAAATGGAATCATTCATCATGGTGAGTGCTCCATACCATAAAGAGATGTCAGATTTCAGTAATGCTCTGGAATTGAAGATGAAAAACTGACTGCAGCTGTTCACTGGAAGCTGAATACTTTCTTGTACCATACCCATCAAACCCTCAAGATGTTTAATGTCTTTTGGGATTAATGAGTGAGCAAATTTATGTCATGAAGGCAGGACTTGGTTATCCTGGAACTGTTTATTCTTGCAGTTGCTTGATTTCTCTGCAACATCTTTGTTGCAGGATATATCAAGTGTATATTCTTTTGTACTATGTGTATTAGAAAATCTGTAGTGATTAATAAGTACAGCTTTCCATATGAGACATTGGCAGTAGAGAGGGTAAATAATTAAGCGGTGCTTTTTTAGAATGGGGCACAGGTACAGAGTGTGAGACTACAGATGATGAGTCATTCTTTCTAGTGAGACTGTGATAAAGAGATGATGGGGGGTTTGTGCTGAGATTTATTCATTCCAGATCATTTGGCAGGAATACTTCTCTTTAAATAGTGATTCACCGTATGGCTTCATCACACCCAACAGATGACCTTAAAGTGCTGTGATGAGGGGTATTTTAGAAGAGTAGAACAGTGCGTACAAAAGTGCTGCATGACCAGAGTAGCACAAGATGCTGTCTGCGTTTCTACTAAGATAAGATCTTTCTCCAGATTACATCCTTCAAATCCAGATTTGTCCTGCTGTTTCCTATTGTTTTCGTATTACATTACACAGACAGAATAACGCAGTCTTATTCTAGTTAAACAGTAAGTGCCCCAATTTCAACATTAAGGTGAATTTAGCTGCAAAATGTACATCAAAGGCAGAGGATATATAGGTCTTAAGTCACCAGTGGTGTACATTTCCATACAATCTCTTGGAAACCAATTTAAATAGGGGAGCCATTTAATTAGCCTAGTCTTGTTTTAACTCTTGGTAACTCCACTCCACAAACTTGTCTTTCAGGTGACAATAACACTGTTAAGAAATTGATGTCTGTTATCTTCTTTTAATTAGCACATAGAGAAATCTAATATGAGCAGTACCATAATCATTAATGCACATGCACTTCCACCCCCAGGTACCAAGGCTTACTTTCAGGGACATTCAGACTTTGAAGGGCTTTGAGCATGAGCTAAAGAGCACTGAATGCTTTTGAGTACTTGGCCCTAATGGTGGCTTTGGAGAACTGAAACACTCTGGCTTCAATGTGTAGGGATGCCCCTTCAGATGAGGAATGCTCTTTGGCACTTAACATCCTCACTTGGCTACATCGTTAATGTGTGTGCCTGCCCTGTTGGTGCAGAAAGCTCTCCTGAGGCTTGTTATTTCCTAATGACGTTTACCTTGTCATAACTTCATACTTTGACACTTCCAGCAGTGTCCTTCAAAATTACAGCTCAAAGTAAGTTGTACTGTTAAATCTACAGCTCCCCTTATTCAAATGCCCTGCTTTGGTTTTAAAATTACCTTTAGTCAAAGTTCCTGATGTCAGTGTCTGCTGTGACGATTAGTGCTAGGCTTTGGGAGGTATTTGCAATGCTGCATTTAGTTCAGGAAATATCCCTTGAGATTTTAATAAATCATAAACCAGGGAAGTATCCCATTGTGTGTCTCTTAATGTAGCAAGAACTTAAAAATTAAGCAGCATAATGAAGCCCTTAATGCCTATTCTACATTAGGCAGTATCTTTTATCTTTTGTTTTTGCTTGGCGTAACATTACTGTCAGGTGAAAACTGCTGATCTCTCAGCCTGCCTGAGAAGCAGGGCCATAGAAGATTGCTAAATTTTGAGCTCTGTGCTAAGTGCTGAGCTCTGTGTGTTTTATCACTCAATTTCCTCTGTATCTCTTCTAATTCTGGCTATTTTATCTGGGACTGCTGATGTGGAAGTTCTGGTACCTGTCACAGAGAGCAGAAGTGATCAGAACCTGATCCGCTGTGTGCCAGACACAGAATACATTTTCTGCAGATTCAGTTCTCAATTGGGTTTATAAATACAGAATCCAGAGCATGCAGACACTCAAAGAAGTCAGTAGCTTAGGCAGCTTAGAGATTCCGCTATATAAAAAGGATATACAGTGATCCTTTTTTTTATTCTGTAAAATTCCAGAAAAATATCCCCAAAATCGGGAATCTTAATTAAAAAACAGGATGTCCTATGTAATGAGGGAAGGTCTTAAATATTTTTGGTCTCTGCCTTCTAAACAATTATCTTGCCCACCCTGCAAGGGGCAGAATAAATCTCAAACTGAGTCCTGATACTTCTGAGTCTGCCTAATCCAGTGTAATTGTCTTTACCGTGATCCAACATAATCACTTTTCTCAGGTTAACCTAGCTCAGGCTAAGATGCGTCTTAAATCCGTATTTTCTCTCACTTCATCAAATACTGTGCCTAGATAGTGTGTTTCTTATCACACTGAGACACCTTTTTATGTCCTTGTCTTTAAAGCCTATCAGTATATAGCATTACCCGATAAGATTTTAACTGTCCTATTGTGGAATGGCTGTTCTGCATGAAAAAGCAGTCTCTCAAAAATCCTATGTAGTTTTTAAAAGGAACTTACTAGAACTGTGATACAAGAACCATGGTAGAAGACTTCTAACAGCTATAGTTCCTCCCACAAGCATGCTTCTGCTTTCAGAGTTGCAGAACTTTGGGCAATGGCAAAAAAAACCCAAACAACTTTAGTGCTGTGATTACTGCTGTGGGAATTTGCAGGCACTTTCTTCAAAACTCACTGGAAGAAGTCAGACGGTTCCTATTACCTTCACTAGATTTGTTTCCAGAGCCTCACATAAGCTGAATCTGGTCTAAAAGGACAAAATTTCACTTTTACTGGAGCTGTGGTGTTTTAGAAAACTGCTGTTATTGATGGAGCTATTCAGAAATGTGCACAAGCATAGATCTGCATACACACACACTATAAGGGAAGAATTGGAGAGCCGAGTCCTTTTTTTATAAAGAGATAGGTACCAGCAAGTACTTAGGTGTAGATATACCAGCTGGCCTATGAAGAACATGGTAGGGAAAAAAAGACTAATTTTAATTATCATACTGGTATTTTAGTTTCAGATAAGCACCAGTTTAAGAATGAGCAGGTGATGTACAGATTTCGCTATGATGATGGAACGTACAAGCCAAGAAGTGAATTGGAAGACATCATGTCCAAGGTTTGTATGACCATTCTTAACTGAAACCTTGTGATCTACATCAAAAGAGTTTGCTCTGCCTCTGCATGTTGTTGGCCTGTTGTGTAGGAGATCCCAAATGTTGTTACTTTTGTTGTATTAAGCTGTTCATCCTAATGCCATAAGAGACATTCACTCTAGGGAGAGGAAGCAGAGCTTAGCAATAAATAACAGTACATTTGTGACTATAGCCAAGCCTTATGATTGTAATCCTAACATAGTAACAAAAGGTCTTAAAAATACCCTAGGCCATAATACAGCATGTCTGCTGAAAATATGGACACTATGATTCAGAGAGATAGAAGAGATCAATATTTAGCTGCTGTTTCTAATAACTGTAAGTCAAATGAGTTTTGTTGATCCTGTCTCTGCCCATATACCTTTTAATAAATTGGATTTCTTCTTATGGATGTGAGTTCATGGGTTAACTGTGAGGAAGGCTTAATGGAGAAAATGTTGGAATGGAGGTGATTAGAGATAAAAGAACATATCTTTTGGCTTCTGGAGGCAGGGAAAGAACAAGAATGTTTGGCAGAAAAGATAACGGGACTGTCTTGAAAAACAATCAATAGATGGTTCCAGCTGAGTAGAAATATCAGTGTCCAGGTTTTGCTAGCTTTAGCTAGTCAGTGTTTCTTTAAAAATGAAAAAAACTGATCATCCCATGCATCTTTCCTTCTTCAGGGTGTGAGACTCTACTGTCGACTGCATTGCCTATATACTCCAGTGGTAAAGTAAGTTCACCTTTATGATTCCCTTGAATGTATTATCTGGCTTTGTTAAAAGGATAATGTTATTATTGAAATATTTCTTCTTTCTTACTATGAACAGTAATCTGCTTGGCTCTTTTACTACCCTTCTGTCTTGACAGTTTAGATATGTAGTTGTACTTCTGCTAGAGGATATTGCAGCTGCGTTCTGGGAGAGCGAAAGGGCATAGTCTTCCTGGCATTTGCTTCCTCTGTCAGTTCATGAGAGCTGTTAGCATGACACAAGTTTGTTTACTCTCGCATCTTCTCTGAGTTAAAGTGGGTGTGATTAATAAGTGACTACTGATTCTGGGCAAATCGTGTGGCGTGATTGTAGCTGCTGTATTATTTGGGTTATAGAAACTGTAAACATGTGCTTAAGTGATGTAAACAGAATCCAATGTGATGCTGGGATTCTTTCATTCAAAGCACCCTAAACAAACAAAAAACCCCTATGAAGTGTGGAACAAAACCTGAAGCTGTAATTTGAAAAAAAACCCCTGAAAATATTAGGTGGAATCTTCAGAATCTTCAGAACTTGGCTCTGTATAAATAAATGCTAAAGAATTGGGACAATCTGCAAGTGGTAGTTAACTCTCTTTCCAAATCTCATCTGATTTTCAGATGATGTTGCCTTACTGTGACATCAGATGAACATTTTTGGCCTATCGTGGAAACCACCCCGAAGCATGTAGGTGTTCTGTTTAGGTCTTTGTGATCGAAAATTGGTCATTTTCACTTAAGAGAACTTCTTTTTTTACATACAAAAGACTGATGAGAAAGAAAACAAATCTCTGATGGGCATGGCTGTAGTTCTGACTGACTTCTTGTCCGTAAGTTGTACAACAGATGCTTCACTGAGAGGTGCCATCGTCATGCTAAAAGGAGCTACAAATATTGCTGCAGTTCATCAGTCATAAATTTGCCTAATTAGATCTCTGGGGTTTTTTTTCCAAGAACAGCCATTCTACAATAGTAGAGACTTCACTTAGCCTGAAGGGTATGGAGAGAGCAGGAAAGCATGATGCAGCCCTTGCTAGGAAAAATGGTTGCGCATATGTATGTGTGTATTTCCACGTATACATTTCCGCCCTTAAGATGGCAATTCACATGCGCAGTACGAATAGTGGTAAGTGAAGCTCAAAAAATTTTACAGACCTCAAGGTACCTACAAACTGAAAGGGATGTCGTCTTGTGCTCTAGGGAATCAACAGGACAAAATAACTACCATGGGCCTCTCTTGTGTTTTATCAACATGCTATTTTTGTAATAGAATCCCAGTTAGAGAATCTTTTAATACCAGGATATATGTGAGTTAGTGAGAGCATCAATCTAGTTGTGTCTGACCAGTGAAAAATAGCAGACTGAGAAGTTTTGGGATCTTTCTGGATAGATTTAACATTCTCAGTGTGTTTAGGCTCTTCCTCCTGCCTATTCTTTCCTGCTCTTCCTTTTATATCCCTGTTAGAAAACTGGGTCTCCTTTCAAGTCTTCTTATCGTGCCTTTTTGCCTCTGACAAACCTGATATTAGCCTAAAGGAGCTACCTTTTGATCAAGGTAGTTGTGCAAAGCCTATTCCTTTCTGCTGTGCCTTTGGATCCCTGCTTTATCTGGCATCTTCAGACTGCTGATCCTTGCAGTCAGACTAGCGAGGTTGATGAGGCCTGCTTTCCTGGTGCCGCCTTCCGTGGAGAAAATCGGCAGAACTGCTTGGATTAGCAGGTGCATGTGCCAAGAGGATCTGGAGGAATCATGAAGTTCAAAAATCAGTTATTTTGCTGATAGCCATGGGATGTAATTTTGCTTAGTTGTCTTCCCTGTAAGCTTGGGATTTTCCATGTAGCCTTTGCTTTTATAATTTTCTTTTAGTAAACTCTGACACTGATGTACTTTGAGGACAAGGCGATATACCCCACTGGAAATAAAGCATGCTACTTTGGGGGCAGATATATAAAAGGTTAACCGTTTTGAAAAAATTGTAGATGTAGTAGAGAAGGTTCTGATTTTGTCTCTGATCTAACTCAGGGAAGTTGTGAGGCTGGAAGAACTTGTTCCCCCTTATAACTGTGATGGACAATACTTCCATGCATAGGTGGACTAGACCTTGTGAAGAATATTGTATTCCTCTAGTTTCTGTGAGGCAGCAAGATTCTGCCAAGACGTCAATGGTTCCCATGTCTGTGCTTGAATATTGACCTACAGCTTGTGATTTGGGATAGCATTTGATGATTCATACTCTACTCCTGTTCAGGCTAGATTAACATGGGGGGAAAAGTCAATAATCTAATGTTGAAATACTCATCCTTGACAAGTGTTTTAACTACAAGCAGTGAAAGACTGGACCTTGGACCAAGATCCTAATACCAATTTATTCAGAAGTCTAGGTCTGTGTCAGCATCTGTATGAAAATGTTGGGAGTTGCTTCTCACAGTCTGGAAACCCCTGCTCGTTAGTACTCAATATTTTAATGCTTTCCTTTATTGTTCTGACATTTCAAAAGCACATTTTCTCAAGATAAGAGTATGAGAGGGAAAAACTGCCCAGACAACTCCCACAGCTTTGTGCTGGGTTTAGCGGATTACTGGAAGTCAAGTCAAAAAATGTGTGTAAGCACTCCGAGGCAAGCTTTTGTTCTTAGGACACATATTTCTGGAAATGTTGTCATGTTTTTTTGTTTGGCTGGGTTTTTTTTCCTCCCAAGTTCTGAAAGTCCTACTTCCCTTTCTAATTTCTCACACCCTGCATTCTGCAAACATGCAGGCGTGTCTGCTGCATTTATTTATAAAAGCCAGTCACAAGTAGGATGAATTTGAGATGGTGGTTTAATGTTAGGTTTTTAGAAAGAAAGGAAATATCAAATAGTGTGATGCTAGTGAGAGAGGTTGATCTGAGAGAGAACTGAAGAATAAAGTCTTCTCTTGAGCTGCCGCATAGATACAGCCGGACTGCAAATCAGTCACAGTGGCTGTGAAAGTTTCCTTCCACAGTCATGCCAGTGGACCTCCAGCTTGAAATAGAAGGACCACCTCCAAGGGTGAGAGAGGAATTAATTCTTCGTAGCCCATTCAACATTTGGCCTCTCCACTGAGACTCTCAACAAGAGGGAGCCAATTAATGCAAATTAATTGTGGTAATGGCTTTTGTGATGTGGAACTAGGAACTGGATCAAGACCACAAAGCTTATTTCGCACAGGCCAGTAAACAGCCTTAAAATGGAAAGAGCTTTTCATTCTTTTATGAGCTGGATTAAATCCAGTGACCTGGAGGTGAAAGGTGTTAGAGCCCAATGTCCTGAGCCACATAGTCCTCTTATATTTGTATCAAAAATCTTTAGAAGTATTTTATGAAAGACTAAAAACATCAATTATCTCCATTGTTCTGAGAAGAGGAATGGAAGAAAACTGCAAAAAAAGCAGCAAATTACAATAGGGTTGTTTTTCCTTAATTCAGGAACAGTGCTGCTCTCTACAAGGGCTGTGTGTGAGATGGTGCAAGTTGTGTTGCAAGACCTAAATACAAGGCTTTTTTTTTTTTTTAATTTACAATGGATGAAATTATTTAACGCCATAAAAGAACACTGTGTACTGCATTTGTACCTGACTACTCGCTGATATTTTGCTGAAGGAAGTAAAATCCGAGCAGATACAGAGAATCAGGAAAATTTCTCTTGACGGAATAGACTAAAAGGTGCTTAACCTAGTGAGCCTAATAAAAAGGGGGCACAGAGGGAGTGTGTGGGATCAGTGTCTACTGATGGGTTAACACTGAAGAAGAACTATTTAAGCTTATGTATGGAGCTGACACTGATGCAATGAATGGAAACTGGACATGCATGAATTTAGGATGGAAACCATGACTTCCAGCCAGAAGAATGTGATTTTCAGCAGAACTGATGGTGACAATATTCTGAGAAGAGGACTGGACAAAAACTGCAAAAACCTGAGTTAAAGCAGCAGCTCAGTGCATCTCTGAAAAGAATCTCCTGGTTGCCTC